TATTATAAATTCGATTAAATATAGGGTCGTAAAAATTAAGTAAGCTTATAATAAAATTGTAAGAAATATTTTATTATAATACTATTAAAATAAGTAGCAATATAAGGAATTTATATAATTTATAATTCTAAAATTTAGCTTTCTAATATATTAGATATTTACGAACGTAATCTTCTACGTTGGCGGCGATAGTAAATTAATAATAGTATTAATTAATCTTTTTAAACGTTTTCTATTATTCTAAATTTTTAATTGTAATATTATTATAATAAATATAAAGGAATTCCGACTGTATACTTTCCGGTATATAAATTTAATAGTAATAATATAATATTCTATTTTCTTTTATCTTTTAATTTTCTATTCTCCGACCTCTCTTTAATTCTTTCTATACTTCCTCCGATATAAAAGGATCTAATTTCGACGCTTCCAATAATTATCAATTTAATAAAAGAAATTGCTTATCTTCCTTTTATACCTTTACAATTATTATATATATTTTTATACAATTAATAATAATTTCGTTTACCCCTCCTCTACGATTTGCGGCAACTTCGTCCACAAACTATATTCTCTTCTTCGGTACCCCTTCGTCTTTATTTTAACCTATATATTCCCTAAATGATTCATTATTTTCATTAATACTACGCTTTTTATATTCCCCTTCTTAATTATTATTTTCTTAATCCGATTTCTAAACCAATTTGTTTTCTCTACTATCCTTATACTATTCTCTCTTTTCCGCTATTACTTTCTACGTTTCCTAACCGATTAATAATACCCTCTTTATATTATTATTTAATATAACCCTATTTCGTATTACTTTTCCCTTCTCTTCGTTTTTCTCGATAATTTATATTAAAGGATAATCTTTTTTAATTATTTTAATAACTTTATATAATTATAACTTCCGTAATAACCCGTCCGCCGGATTAAACTTCCTTACCTAATATTTAATACTAAAATTATACACCGCTAATTCTAACGCCTACCGATATTATTATACGATAACCCTATCCTTATTTTTGAAATATTAAAAATTTAAATAATTTATAATAATAAAGAAAAGTTTATTAATATATAATAAATATTAGTTCTATACCTTTAGCGCGCTTATAATCGCTAATAATTCGCCGTTGTTAACGCTATAGCGCGTCTCCTCCGGGGACTTTTTATAAGAAAAGAACGTAATAGGGTACTAACGCATTTTATATAATTACGTTAATATTATACTAATCGCAAAATCGGACGTATTTATTTCTATTCGGATCGGTAAAGAAGGATTAAACTATTATAATATTAATACTTTTTAAAATAACCGCTTTAATTCCTCGAACGCTACTCTAACCGGCTCCAATAATTCGAATAATTTTGGTTTCTTTTCCTTTAATAAATCTATTAACGGAACTATAATTTTAAAATAAAATATTACAAATTGTCGATAGAATCTTATAAACCCTGAGAAAATTTAAATATTGTAAATACTTTTTAAGGCTTCTTAATCTATAATCGTTATAACCTTTTCTAAATCTATCAAAATACTTTTGAGCGAGACTACGTAATTTAAAAACGATACCCTCTTAGTATAGAATTCGTACTTATTTAAATTAATATATAAATTATATTCGTATAAACGTTAGAGAATTTCTTTAATACATTTATAATAATTTTCTTTATTCTTATTATAAATTTTAATATTATCGAGGTAAGTGATATAATAGTATTAATTGAAATTATTAATATATTATTAATATATATTTAAAAAATAATAAGAATATTAAATAATTTTGTTGGTATAATTAAAAGTTTATAATATTTATACTTCGTACGAAATACTATCTTTTCTTTATTTCCCTACTTAATCCGAATATAATAATATACGTCCTTTAAATTTAATTTTATAAAAATTCTCGCCGATAATAACTAATCCAAAATCTTTTAAATAAAAAGTAACGTTATATAATTCTTCTTCGTTACTTTATTAAACGTATAGTAATTGATATATAATTTTCATTTACTTGCTTTCTTTGGAATAAAAATAATAGGAGCCCCTACTAAGCTAATAAACGGACGAATTTATCCTTTATATAACGCTTCTGCTAATTACTCCCAAAGTACTTCTAATTCTTTAATATTAAATATATAAATAAGGCCCTAAAAATAAATTCTCCTTCAATTAAATTAATACAATATTCTAAATAATCGTATTATAGTAAGAATATAGCTGACGCTTCGAATATTTATTAAAATTCTTTATATTTTAGAAGGATTATTAGTTTAACGGCGGCCGTTTCCTCCTCTTCGAATTCGGCGACGGGCAGTTTCAAGGATATTAATTTTAATAAAGGTTCTAACGGCGGGTAAATTCTATTTGACGTAATTCTAAAATTTTTAAAAGGTATATCCGGAGATATATCAATAAGTATAAGAATAAGTATATTAAAAAAAGTATCGGGGAAATCTAGAATATTCAGTAAGGTTAAAAATTCTATACGTAAGGATAGGAGAATTTCAAAAGGGATAATCGAATATAATAGGGGATTAAAATTATTAAAAGACTTTAATATTTCTTTCAGGTCCAATATAAGGATTAAATCTTAATATAAGCCGTAACAAAATATTATAATTTTATAAATATCTTTAATCAGCTCTTTATTCGTTTCCAAATCTTATATTTCAATCCGAAACCGGAACCTCTTCTAACGCTAATCGATCTTAAAATTATATTCGTATAATTAAAAATAACCGAAAATAACATCCACGCTAAAGGAATCAATAATTATAAATATAATCCTTTTCTTCCGCTTAATATTGTAGGAATTACACAGTCTAATAAAATAGATAATCGAATTACGTACGGGAATAGGTTAAATAAAGAAATTAATAAAATAATACTTTATAAATTCTATTTTAATATCTAACGAAAGCAAATACCTTCTAATAAAATTTAGCTCCGCACCGGAATTTATTAAACTATAAATTTTCCGCTAATCTCTATATATTCTTACTAATAGTTTTATATTTAAATATAATTACAATATACCCGCGCTTCCCTAAATTAAAGTAATCGCAATCCTTATCAGTACTACCGGTTTAATATTCGTACCTTAAATTAAAATACTATAAAAATTAAAGTATTGATACAATATATAACTTAGCTTACCGTAATTATAATAAATATATTTAATATAGGAAAACGCCGAATATTTAGGTTTACCATATTTATAGTAAATACTATACAATTTTATTGCCCGGTATTAACCGTACGTATATCTAAATTAATTATAATAATAATAAATAATATTAGGGTTAATAGAGACTATAGGGAGAGGACGAGAAAAATCAATAAAATTCGGAATAAATATAGGAATAAAAATAGGAATAGAAATAAAAAGGGAAAAATAAAAAAATAAATAGGGACGCGGTACGTAAAGGCGTTAACGCTATATTATCAACTCTAAAGTTTCTAAACTTTTTAATCATTCTATATATATTACTACTTTAATTAACATATTAATACCGTTCGCTAATAAAACGCCGCTATATAAATAAGGCCGTAAACGGTTAATCTATTATAAGACGCGCGAACATTCTAATTATTTAAAAAATAAATTAAATTCTTTAATATAAAAATGGTTGTAAAACGCGCGAACGGTCTCGGTAGCGTCTTACTATATATATATTTAAAATTAGTAAGGGCGGAACGCTCAATAATCCAAATATTACTATTATATTCTTTTTCTAAAAAATATATATAAAATTTTCTAAGTAGGAATATTACAAATAGGGTTATAATCGATCTTCTTTTTAAGAGTTATAATATATTTAATTTATACGTTCTTAAAGTTACTTTCAATATAATTAATAGCAAAGGAAAGGGGTGTCCGGGGGTATTCGAAATAATAATTATTAATATCGAAAATAAAATTACGTAATTAAGAAGAATTTTCACTAATAAATTTAGAAATATTAAATTTGGGGCGATATTTAAATAAAATAATAAATTGGATTGGTTAAGTAAATATAGCAATAATAAGCGCTATAACTTAAAGAGCGATAATAAGAATAGGGAGGGTTAAAAAGTACGCTTAATTATAAAAAGAATAATTTTAATAATAGAATCCGAAAGGAATAGGAGGGTAATTACCAAATTAATTTTATTCTAATAAATTTATAAAACTATTCTAATTATAAAGAAATATATAAAATAAAAAATAAATTAAAAGTAATTTAATAACCGCTATATAGGATTCGAAGAATCTTTATTTTCATATTATAATATCGTTCTTTAAATAATAGAAGAGGTTACACGAAACGTGCGAAGGGGTAAAGGAGCAGTCGCTATCCGAATTATCGTCGTTCATCTCTTTAATAATCAGTTAACAATATTAAAACGAAGGAGGAAGCTATTATTAAAGGCTATTATTAATTATAATAAAAGGGGTAATAAACAATTCTTATATACTAGAAATAAAAGGAAGGATTTTTTTCGGCAATCTAAGAAACGGATCGTCCGCTACGTATTTATATCCTATCAATAACAGCTCAATTCCCGTAGGAAGAGCTATCAACGTATTAGGATCATAGAAAAAGGTAGGTTAAGGTACTTACGGATAGCGTAAGTACATAGGAGACGTTAAAATAGGAAGAAGACAAAAAATATATTAATAACTAACCCTAATAATTCTAGAGGCGAATTCGACCGGCCATTTATATTATTATAAACTCTATCCTATAGTAACTAAGTCCGCGACGGCTCCAAACCGTTCCAACGCCACACTACGGCACTATACTATACGGACATCGGCGCCCCTCGGTACTAGCACGGGTCCAACGCCTAATAGGTCCCTAGCGACTTAACAACTTACGTGAGCAGAGCCTCATCCGTGAGCCTTATTCGTAAGCCTTACTAGGTACTGGTATATAGTAGACAAGGGTGTTCCAAGGGTAGACAAGGCAAGTGGGCATAAAAGGAAGGTAGTTACATTATAGTCTATCTAATCTAATTGAATCTTATGGCTTCTCTCCCACTTTCTTTCCATACATTTTGACATCTCTTTCCATACATTTTGACAGTTCGCCAGGTAAGTCGGATCATCGGACAGGCCTCGGCGGGCCGCGCTTCGACACACATGACACTCCTCAAAAGAACGAGGAAGGAAGCACCAATACAAGATGTGGAAGGTATGGTGAGGATTCAGTACGGTATTGTGGGAAACAGTCACTGCAGCGAGCGGCCGCGATCAGTGTCGCAAATCTCACCATGCTGTACTGTGCCCCGGGATCTGTCCAATCTCAATGTTTGGTTCCAGAGGCATCAGCATACAGAACAAAATCTACCACGGAGGTTCCAAGTACCCGGACGTTCTGTCAGTAATGCCTCTTCGGGTTTCATGTGAGGCGGCGCGTGATTGGTATCGTCAGGTACCTGCCGCATCTGAGGGAGGTCGCTCTTGCGGTTTCAAGTTGCTCACAAGTCACCCCTCGCGCCCTCGGCCATAAAAGGCTTGCCGCAATCGCACCTGCTCCGAGCGAAGTGGAAGCCATGCGGTCTCCCCAATCCATACAATTACCTTTCAAACGTGCCTTCCTTATCCGCACAAGAAAATTTTCTCAAAGAAATAAGCTCAAGTCTAGCTAGACCTTGGTTGGAGGTCCTCACCGCCGAAACAGAACAACGAGGATTCCGGGGGGCGACGAGATTGCCGATTGCATCCAATCTTTGCCAGGCGCTACAAATATTGGATATTTCGACAGCACTTTTCAACACTTCACTTGACCATTTCCCACCCTATAGTACGGCCTTGTTCATGCCCCTACCGTAGTGATTCCCGTCTACGGCCTCATCTTTGCGAGCCGACTCAGCTCCTCCTATTGCCTGCCGTTGGTCGCGCTCTATTGTTGACCCGCCAACTCGACCTGACACTCTTTCATCCCAATTCTTTCAAACCTTGACCGTTGACCCCTGAAACCTGGACCGCCCCCTTTTCTACTCAATACCTGCGCAAATTCACGCGACAGACACAATAGCGCGTCTGCTATTCACTCGGCCTTGAAGCCTTCGATCTGACCAAAGACCGCAACCTTTTCTGGTGACTCAGATCAGCTCCCGGCGCTTCTTCCTCGATACAAATATCTGCCAACTCCCGACCTCACGTCTCCCAAGAAACAGGATCCCGAAGAGTAGGCACTTCCTCCCCTTCTCTCACTAACGACCACTGACCTTTTCTGACCCTTTTCCAGATACGAGTGGAACCAACCCTTCGCAGTCCACAAGCGCATCTATCGTCAATTAAATCACGAAAAAGGAGAAAGCCTCATGAATCATTTCGCAAGAGTCGTGGTCGACCTGGAATCCGGAGGGATGCATCCTAAACAATATCTTCTGAACATTGCAGAATCCCTCACCGAGATGGCCTACCGCGGCACTTCGCACCTGCGCCACAAGCTAGGTAGCCTTACATGGGGTCCCGCCGTCCAGTTCGCCAAGACCATGGCCCAAACCACGTTCGCTTCCCTCCAAGTTGGCACACTGCTTCTCGTTGACCAAGTGTCCGCGGAGAGTTTTGTGTACGGCGACACACTCGGCGTTGGGTCTGACGAGCTCGGCAACTTTGTCCTCTGCCGCCGCCACACTGGCGAATTCGAGGACGAGCGCAAGGCCACCGATCTCCCTGATGTGGAGTTGGTTGTGAAGGACGACGCGTTCTGGTTGCGACTGCTTCTGTTCACGGACATGGGTTTCGCGGAGTCGTACATGCTAGGCGAGTTCGAGTGTGACGATCTGACGTCTTTCTTCCAGATGTTCATCTTGAACCGTGAACAGCTGAACAACGGCACGACTTGGTTCTCTGGATTCTTTTCCCACGTTGCCGGTCTCGCTCGCTTGGCAAATACCATGGAGAACGCTCGTCTGAACATCATAAGACATTACGACATCAGCAACGATATGTTTGCTGCTTTTCTGTCGCCAGATATGATGTATTCGTGCCCAATTTGGAAGCACTCGATCAATAGTGACACCAAGCAGGAGGAGAGTCCGAGGCACGCTCAGATGAGAAAGATCAAGTATTTCATTGAAGCAGCCAAGATCAAGCCAACCGACCATGTCCTGGAAATTGGAACCGGCTGGGGCACCATGGCCATTGAAGCCGTGCGCAGGACAGGCTGCCGCGTCACGACTATAACGTTGTCACGGGAGCAAAAGAACTTCGCTGAGAAGAGGATTCGGGCAGCGGGCTTTTCGGACAAGATTGCAGTGTGTCTGTTGGACTACCGAATGCTGCCTTATCAGAAGGTTACCTACGACAAGATCATATCTTGCGAAATGATCGAGGCTGTGGGCGAGAAGTTTCTGGCCACGTTTTTCTCGCGCATTGACAAGCTGCTGAAGAAGGACGGAGGGATTGCCGTGTTCCAGTGCATCACCATGCCGGAGGGACGACACAAAGGCTATTCGAGGCGTGAAGAGTAAGTCGTCGGTGTCTTGTAGGGTGTAACGTCAGCTAACGTCTGTAGCTTCATTAACCACTACATCTTTCCCGGAGGATACCTCCCATCCGTCACGCAGTTGATCAACCACATCACGACCGAGTCCAACGGAACGCTCATTGTCGAAAAGATCAAGAACATCGGCCCACATTATGTCAAGACGCTGAGGCTGTGGAGGGAGGCCTTTATGGACAAGTTTGACAGCAAGATCATGCCGGCTTTGATGGAGGAGCATCCTAATATGACGGAGAAGGACATTGAAGTGTTTCAGAGGAAGTGGGAGGTGAGTTGTTCTTCCGGTTGTTGGAGGTGACGAAACTGACACATGCCCAGTACTACTTTGCGTATAGTGAAGCCGGTTTCCTGACCAAGACGTTGGGAGATGTGATTATCACAGTTGGCAGGGAGGGTGCGCTTGAGCTGATGGAGGGTATTCCGTTGTGATCGTTACTGAGGATCGTAGTGCTGATGATCTCGCCCACATCTCCACGTACGGCGAAGCAATATGGTTATCGTGACCAGTAGGGAAAAGGACGATGGATGGTGGAATGATGAGGGACAGGAATCGGTTGCAGATCGGGTAGAAACCAGCATATAGACCATGGTATGGCGTCTCATGGGTTTCCATAAAAGAGGGTTACTAGAATTTTCCTGCTGGTTGTTCAGTCAATGAAGAAAAAAAGCCGAATGTAGCACAAATGGGGTATACCTACACGCAAAAGTTCGGGGAGATGCAAACGAGATATCCAGCCCTTTGAACCCATAAACCTATAGACTCCTTTCTGCTCATCCTTGCTTTTTCCGAGACTCTTTCCCTCTCAAAACCTGTCCGATATTCTCTTCACTTCTTGCCCTTCTTCTTTCCGCCACCACTACCACCTTTCCCACCTTTCTTCCCCTGCCCCTCCTCGTACCGATTGCTATTCTCCATATCAAACCCATGCTTCTCCTTCCTAAACAACAACATGGCCACCCGCGCATCCTCCACGCTACTATGCTGTCCCGTCTGAATCTCCACCCCCAACACCTCCTTCGCCAGCACCCTCAAACTCGGCTTCGGCCCATGTCCATACTTTTTAAACCCACTATACTTGGCCGTATCCCTAACATCCCGATGCGGATGCTCCAACCCCAACACCTCCAAATCATGCTTGACGTCATGACCAACTAGTATCCTGCCCTTCAACAACGCGGCAACAGTAGCCTGCACAGAAGCAAATGACCTGGCAAACGCCATGTGCCGCTTGGAGATCCCCGAAACGTGCGTCCGCCAGTCGGTAACGAAGGCAGTCGGTTTCACGTACGAGTCGTAGATTTGGTGTCCGTGGAAATCGACGAGTGAACAACGGGCGAGAACGGAGACGAGACCCGAGGGGCCGGTGCCGACCATTTCGCAGTCTATTGCTAGGTATTTGCCTAGTGTGTTTTCCTTGGTTGCGCGGAGGATTAGGGCGAGGTCGGCGGTGGTGGCGCTGGTGGTTGTGGTGCCGTTGGAGAGGGGGAGGGTGAGGTCCGAGGGGAGGTCGGAGGGGAGGGGGAGGCCGTTGCTGCTGCTGGTGGGGGTGGGGGTTTGGTTGCCGGGGAGGGTCAGGGTGAGGCCGGCGTTGGGGACCGCGGGGGGCAGCGTGGAGAGTAAAGGGATGTGGGACGAGGAGGAGCGGAGACCGAGGTTGTAAGCTTCGGCGAGGGATTCAGAGGAGATGCCTTCTTCGGAGGCCCAGAGGTGGAGGGAGGGGAGGTTGGTGTGCGGGGAGTCGGAGGTTATGGGCTGGGAGTTGGCTGCTCCCATTTTGGACTTTGAGTCTGGGTTTGTTGTTGGTTTGCTGGATTGAGATTTGGGAGTGAGGGTCTTTCTGGGTGGTTGAGACTGAGACTGAGACTGAGACTGGGTCTTTTGCTTCTTTGACAGGGCGTTGGATCGTTCAATCTCCGCCCTCTCCTCGGCCTTGCGCTTCAAGGTCTCGGAGGAGATGGACTTCTTGGAAGTTGCTTGCTTGAAAGCAGCTTCTTGGCTGATGGGGGCTGACTTGGTTGGTGGGGCCTTGAGCTTTTCTTGCAACTTCTTCCAGTTTGATGAGAGTTCCGGGGCCATGGTTGACAGGAGGGCCTGCCTTGGTGGTTTTGGTGGTGAAGTCTCGAGAGTGAGGGTGAGGACTGGGGACAAGTGAGGGGTCACTGTCGATGATGGTCGCTTGTGTTACGTCCGATTGGGGAGGATAGAAATTGACGGTCGAGGTTCTTTGGTGGAATCCAATTGGCACTGATTTCCGTTTTGAGTGAAAGTAAACAGTAGGGAAAGATAAGAAGATTTCCAGATGGTGATAACTTTTTATGAATGTGAAAGTGGATGTTGACATGGGCCCCACTTGGTGTTCTTGAAAATTCAACTGGGGAAATCGGTTCCTGGCGATTGACAGGGTAGACAAGCTGAGGCATGCAGGGGTCTGTCATTCCCCGCTGAAATGCACCATGGCGTTCACAATGCCGGTGCGCGATGGAGCCTTCTACGTCTTTCTACACGTGGGCTCGCCACCGAGCGACCCCTCCAAAGGTTTGGAAAGCGTCCACTGAAAAGAGTCGCTAAACATCACCAAAACACGTCAAAACAAACATCGCGCGTCGCCCGTTAAATTTATCGCATTCAATTGCCCACAGTCAACATCCATCAGTTCTCGTCGCAAAACATCGCAGGTCATCGATCGGATCATATACATTTGGAGAAGACAAGGTCGCCATCATGAGTCGCCCAGGTGGCGATGCCACTGTCGGCTCCGACGAGAAGCGACAGAAGGGCAAGGCGACGCCTGATACCATCAAGTATGTTCCCGTCGTCACTGTCATCGCCGAGAACCAGCTACTAACACCCCACACCACAGAATGGGATGCATTGCCATGGTAATGAAAGAAGGCCAACTACGACGAGCAGAGATCCTCAGTATCAAAGACACCAAATCCGGCCGTCAATTCTACTGCAACTTTGACAACTTCAACAAGCGTCTCGACGAATGGGTGCCAGCCGCCAGAATCGATTTCGAGCAAGACGTCGAGTGGCCCAACCCGGACAAGGACAAGCAGAAGGACGCCAAGACCAAGAAAACCTCGACCGTGTCTAAGAAACAGCCGTCCAAGAAGAGCAACCAGAAGAAGGCCAGCAAGAGGGAGCAGTCAGTCGCATCGGACGGGCAGACACCACACCCATGGACCGAGTTCGTCGAAGGCCAACCAGGGAAGAACAACAGGCAAAGGGCACAGACGGAAGATGGAACGGACGCTAATGCCAGTTTGGAGGTTGGTGGTGATAAGGGAGTCAAGAGGAGGGCGGACGAGATGGACATGGACGAGGACGAGATTCCAGCCGACGCCGCTAAGAAACAACGTCAGCCGTCTTTTTCTAGGGAACAAGAGATTGAGAAGTTGCGAACATCCGGCTCCATGACGCAGAATCCCACAGAGGTCTCGCGTATCCGAAATATCTCCAAGGTGGAATTCGGCCACTACGTCCTCTTCCCGTGGTACTTCTCGCCCTACCCGGAGGTCTTCGGCCAAGAAGACTGCATCTATATCTGCGAGTTCTGCCTCTCCTACTACGGCGAGCTCAAGTCCTTCGTCCGGCACCGACAAAAGTGCACTTTAACCCACCCACCCGGAAACGAAATCTATCGAGACGACTACGTCTCCTTCTTCGAGATCGACGGGCGACGTCAGCGCACCTGGTGTCGCAACCTCTGTCTGCTCTCCAAGATGTTCCTCGACCACAAAACGCTCTACTACGACGTCGACCCGTTTTTGTTCTACGTCATGACCACCCGCGACGACAGGGGGTGTCACATCATCGGCTACTTCTCCAAAGAAAAAGAGTCTACCGACGGTTACAACGTCGCCTGTATCTTGACCCTCCCGCAGTATCAGCGCAAGGGATACGGTCGCCTGCTGATCCAATTCTCCTACGAACTGTCCAAAATCGAAGGCAAACTCGGCTCGCCCGAGAAGCCCCTATCCGATCTGGGTCTGCTTTCGTACAGACAGTACTGGTCAGAGAACATCATCGATATCCTGCTCGGATACAACGAGCGAAAGGAACCTTGTACGATTGAGAATATCGCTGTCGCGCTGGCGATGACGACGCAGGATGTGGAACATACCCTGCAAGCGCTCAAGATGCAGGTGTATCATAAGGGCGAACATAAGATTGTTGTGCCGGACAAGCTGATTAAGCAGAGGGAGAAGAGCAAGGCGAAACAGAAGAGGTTGATTGATCCGGAGAGGATCCAGTGGAAGCCACCGGTTTTCACGGCGCTTAATCGGACTTGGGGGTGGTAGTTGCTGTTTGGATGTGTGGATGTCTGGGTGTCTGGCTGTCGGATATCTGGGTTATTTTCGCTGTAAGTTATGAGAACAAAATTGCATGGGTAGCGAGCGGGTTGATTATGATGATTAGTACGGCGTTGGTGTTTGTTTTGGACGGCACTTGGGAAAAGGGGCTTACAGGGGTTAATGGTCCATGATATGCATCACTATAACGACCATAACATCAGAATCGGTTACTATTTCACCAGTGATTGGGAATATAATTGCTAGGGTAGAGAAGCAGAGTGTAGTCATAATCTCTACTCATGATCAGCTAAAAAGCCTGTTTGATATAGCACAAAATCTTGATCAAAGTTTAGCTTAAGCCCACCGACTTTCCTTCACTCAACCAATCCATCAGACGTGGGTTTAGACAGCGATTCCAAACCTATTGACTTTTCCCCGATCTTACAGACCGCTTTCGCAGATCTGAATCTTGTGATATGGTTATGTCGGCTAGTCGGATGCACCATCGGAGATCCGAGTGGGTCTCTCCCGTCCAGCCCCGCACCTCCGGCCGGCCGGCCCCGCGGTGGAGAAGGCCCTGGTCTTGACAACCAAGATTCTCCGCAAAACGACATCATCTACGACGGCGATCACGACGGCGATCACGACGGACAGATGGGTTGATATAAACTGAATGGTTTCACCGCGGCATATGAGATTCACCCGCCTTTTCAGCAAAGCTATGGTCCCAAAACCACCACCAACCTTACCCAGGTTCAACTCGTCTCACCAACTCAACATTCCAACTACATCCTCACTCCAAGTCAACATCAACACATCAACAACAACCATCGCCAACATGTCCTCCTCCACAACCGCCTCAACACCCCCCGCCCTCTCCGACCCCGACGTCCCAACCCCTCTCGCCCAACCCGGAGAAAAGAAACAAATCAATCTCCTCCGCGGCTGGCCCTCCCCCCACCTGCTGCCCCCTTCCAACCTCCTCAACGCATCCCACACCCTCCTCTCCTCGCCCGACGAAACCCAATCCAAATTCAACTTCAACGTCCCCGCCCTCCAATACGGTCCCGACCCAGGCTACCAACCCCTCCGCCACTCCCTCGCCGCCTGGTTGACACAAAACTACCACGCCAACGAGACCTACCCGCCCCATGGCTTTCCCACGTTGACGACGGCCGAACAGATCTGCGTCACGGGCGGGGCGAGCCAGAACCTGGCGAATGTCCTCCAGGGATTCACGGATCCGGCGTATACCAGGGCCGTGTGGGCGGTTAGTCCGTGCTATTTTTTGGCGGTGCCGATCTTTGAGGATGCCGGGTTTGCGGTGGGGAATGGCAAGTTGAAGGGCGTGAGGGAGGCGGAGGACGGGGAGGGGGTGGATTTGGAGGAGCTTGAGAGGGGGATTAGGGAGGTGGAGGGGGGGAAGGAGTGGCCGGAGAAGCCGGTAAGTTTGTTTTCCTGGTGGATTTGTGGTGGTGGTGGTGAAGGAGGGTGAGGGTGGTGGTGGAACAGTGATGAAAGCAGCGGGTAATGAGAAAATGAGGAAGTGAGAGTGGACGAGATTGTGAAGCAGAGGGAAGATATGGAGTAAGCGTGAAGGAGATCGAGAAAGGGGGACTAGAAACCTTCTTCTCGGATTTCCTACCTTTACTGCTCTACCTTGCTCCTCGCCCCCAAAACTCTCTCAGTCCGACTCTCACTTCCACTTCCAATCCCAACTCCCACTCCCACCTCCCCTAATCACCACCCCTTCTACCATCACCAGAACAATAACTAACAACCCCCAGGTCTACAAAACCCCCGGCCCCCACCGTAAATGCTACAAACACATCATCTACCTCGTCGCCACCTCCGCCAACCCCTCCGGCATCACCACCTCCCTCTCCCGCCGGCACGCCCTCGTCCAACTAGCTCGCAAATACGACGCCCTAATCATCTCCGACGACGTCTACGACTTCCTGCAATGGCCCGTCCTCCCCTCCCCCACCACCCAGTCCTCAAAACACCTCCCCCTAACCACCACCCTCCTGCCCCGCCTCTCAGACATCGACATCTCCCTCGGGCCCTCCCCCCACGACTTGGCTCTTTCAGCGCATTACACCCGCGCTCCCCGCTCCCCCCCTTCCCTTTCCTCCAAGGGTAGTCCTAACGGAACCACGCCCAACGGAAACGGCCAACACCACAACGACGACATGGCAGATGACCACCAACAAGACAAGCAATCCCTCCACCCGGACCACACCATTCAAGACCTCCACTTCGGCCACGCCGTCTCCAACGGCTCCTTCTCCAAGCTTTTATCTCCCGGTCTAAGAACGGGGTGGACGCACTCCACGCCTGCCTTTGCTTACGGCCTCGCCCAAACGGGGAGCACCAGATCAGGCGGCGCACCGTCGCAGTACTGCGCTGCGCTTGTTCACGAGATTCTCAGTTCCGGAGCGCTGGAGAAGCATTTGACGAGCGTAGTCCGCCCCGGGCTGCAGAAGCGGCACGCGTTGATGTTGGAGACGGTCAAGAAGGAGTTGGTGGGGCCGTTGGGGGTTAAAGTCCTTGAGGACAATCGTACGGGAGCTGAGTGTAAATCAGAACAGCCGGCGCTGTTTGGGGGGTACTTTTTGTGGTTGGAACTACCTGAGACGGTACCGTTCACGGCGAAGGAGGTGGCGGAGCGGGCGCTGGAGGAGGAAAGGTTGGTGGTTAGTCCGGGGGAGAACGCGGAGGTTAGTGGGGAGGGAGCGGAGGGGCAGGTCGGGATTAGGTTCCCGAGACACTTGAGGGTGTGCTTTGCTTGGGAGGAGGAGGAGGATTTGGTGGAGGGTGTTGAGCGCCTGGGGAGGGTTTTGAGGAAGATGGTGGAGGAGGCGAAGGAGGGAGGGGGGGTGAAGAAGGTTGGTGGGGAGGGGTTGAAGGCGTTTAAGTGAGGGACTGTGGGTTTGATTGTAGTTTGTTATGTCGAATTGGGAATTGTCAACCAATTTGAATGTGTTTCAATCAACTCTGAATTCCGGCCCCGACGTCAGTCGTACGAGGACATACGTTCCACCCACCATCGGAATGACTGAAACTGACGTTTCCGACCGAGCAAACTGGCTTCGTCATATGACGTCCATATGGGTATGGTTGAAAGAAGAAGTCTTGAGAAGATTTTGGAATATTCGGACTCAGATTCCGAGCTCCACGACTGACTGTCGTACGAGAACAACCAGACTACCAGTTGGAATGATTGAAAAATGGCGATCCAAACGGTACCAACGGTTTCGTCATATGACGACCCAAAAAGCCTATGAAGAGGGCTTCCTTCCCTTGAAGGAAAGGAAAATCAGAAAGTAGAAAAGTTACCTTATTCATTGCTATCTCTACCAATATACTATACTACCTTTCCACACATACCACATACCACATACCATTCTCTCTGCTCGTCTTTGGCTGCTGCTCTACACAGTCATACCAACCAACCAATGCCTGCCAACGCCTACCAAGCCTCATTTTTCTCTAAACGCTAAGTTAAATCTCAATTCCGTCTGATCCCTGATCAAGACAATAGACATCCGTTTCGGGTTGCACTTGAGCCGTTAGGGATTAGACGGGTGCATTGAATTCCTGAGAAAAGATATGATGAAGCCTATTCTTCTTTAGGTTGAATCGCGAAAACGTTTTTTTTTTTCTTGGAACAACTAAAAGGCAATGGGATTCATTTTTCTACAGATGCAAGCCAGGGCTCAGTAGTTATCGTGGCACATTCAATTACGCTACGAGGAAACTTCAATACCATGGTATGTCTTGATCGTGAGGGTTCGTGACACTCAGGCCAGTCTGACGCCTGGGTACAGACCAGACCGGGAACGAACAGATGAGATTGAGAATCTACTTAGACAAATTCGAACTGTACTAACTAGTAGCAGTTATGCGCTTGCATATCTGCTTGACCAACCCATTCCATGTAAAGAAGAACAAAGAAATTACATGTCAAGAAGAACAAGAAATTCCATGTCAAAAAGAACAAGAAAACTATTTCTTGAACTTGACAATAGAGCTAGGCTGGTTTGTAAAAGAAAAGAAAAAAAAGCCATAAAAGCAACAACCGCCAGTCCCCGCATCTTGTATTCGACACAGTTCCTTAGCGGGTAAAGTGAGCAATGAGACGGAGCAACCTTAACCTTTTCCTTGATAATAGAGCCCCTTACACCCATGAGTCCATGGTATCCCCCACAACGCCTACGAGAAACTTGAACAACCGTGAAGAAAAGAACGGACAGAATTGTATCAGATTGCCTGCTTTCATTTTTTGTCGCACACGCGATGTGCATATGCACTAAGCTAGCACCATGTAGTTTCCCATCAACGCACGAAATAAGTTGAAGGTTTCTCATTCCCGTCTCTTCGTTCGGTTCGTTCTCAAACAAAAATCCTGTGTGAATTGTGAAACCCATTTTCATCGTAGGTTTTTGTCGTTCCGTTCGTATCGTGTGATTGTATTAACTCTTGCGCTTCTCGCCGCTCTCCCTTGTGGTTGGTAGGTAGTGAAGTGGCGGAAGCCGCTTTTGAAGCTCGTTCGCTGACTGCAGTAAAGCATAGGTACTGAGCTTCCCTTCCTCTCTTTCATCTTGCTACCCTTTCTGCCTCTCCGTGTTACTGTCACCCTGGTTAGCTGTTGTAGCTCCTTCCACCTGCGTTCAAGCCGTGCTGGCTTCTCTTCCTCCTCCATTTTGTTTGTAACTCCCATGTTTACTACTTCCTCAGAGAAGCTTTTTGCTCCTCACATGCTTTGGCTGATTCCAAAAATTCGATCTGTAACCGATTTTGAGCGTAAGCCTAGTCCTGTTGATAATACCATGCCGACCAGCTGCCAGACCGGGATGAGATATGCGCTCACAACGTAGCCGTTCTCGCTTTCTTGCTCTTCGGACTAGCCAGAGAAACAGACAGCTGCCTCGCCAGTTTCTGGATATTATCCGCCGAAGGATTCTTCTCCTTCAGACAGGTATTCGAGCCGGCCTCCTGATCCGCAAACCCAGAATCACCTGCTGACATTCGCGATTTCTTCCTCGTAAGCAACCGGACCCCATTCTAGGAAGTCTGAATAGCGGTTGGCGCACTCCTCGACCAGGCACTATCCCTCCCCCTGTATCCACCTCTGCCCCTAGTCTGCTGGTGTGACCCATTAGGTCCGGTAGGAGGACCGGTAGATCCCTGGTCATTCGGGGAAGAAGCGTCCCTACCGCTGCCGCGACCTCCAGGCATGCCGCGCTGGCTGTGCGGGGCTGTGGGATGACGGCCGCCACGCGGTGCACCGCCGCCACGACGGGGGTTGCTGCGTGTCCTGCTGAAAGGGATGGTCACGGCGGTGACGAAGGGCGGATGTCGGTCGGTCCCGGGGAAGGCAATGCGAATGACGCTGCCGATTCCGTTCGAGCTGGTGTCGATGCGGATAGGCTCGGCGCTGGTCGTTAGGGGGAAGAACTTCCGATGAAGAGGCTTGGGTGCCAGTGCGGGTGTAGGCGACCAGGCCATCTCCGGAAGCTCAGTAGGAATCCGGACCGTAGGCAAGGAACCCATCTCCTGCTCCTCAAAGCAATCCTCATCCATGTCTTTCGTTGTAGCAGACGCTTCGGCGATCATAGCGGCGGTAAGCGACACCGTAACAGACGCCTCCGGGTGCTCATAGGCAGCGCGGCTCGTCGAGTCAACTCCCGGAGCTGGCTTCTGTTGCGGGTGGGACGGCTTGCGCGCGCCGAGAAGGTTATCAATCCGAGCTTGCCACGGGCTACCCGGGTTAGATGCTGGTGCACGCTCCTCGCCCTTATACGCGACTGTGTTAGCCCACGAGAAGGACGGGCCTTGCGGCTTAGAAGCCTCAGGAAGTTGTACCTTTGGTTCCTCTCTCGCCTGAGAGGGAGGTGGTAGGCGAACCTGGGGCCTAGGTGTAGGAATGCAAACATTGGGGTGCTTGACATCGCCGTCAAAAGCGGGGTGCCCAGTTGTCTCTGTATCCGGAGGAGGGGGTGAGGGAGAGTGAGGACGCTGGTATTCCGCAGCAGCGATGCTCTGTTGGCGGCTAGGGAAGAACCTAGATGAGGTCCGCGGTGCTGCACCGGCATTACCGAGTATAGATGTATTCGCGGCCGGGGGTTGTGTCGGCTGAGAAGCCTGAGTGGCAACCCAAGGGTTCTCCTTCCCAACCCGGACGGTTTGTCGGGGGCCAGCCTCGATTCTCATACCGTTTTCGTCAAGCTTGGTCGGACGCCAAACATCCTTGACAGCAGGCTGGATGTCCTCTACCGTGAGGCCCTTCTCAGCCCGGCGGCGATCCTGCTCAGCAAATCTGTCCTTGAGCATGGCCTCGAAAGCCTCGTCGTTGAGACGCGCAGCACTGACCCATTGGTTCGCCTTGGCTTGTCGTTCACTTGCAGACAGAGTGCCAGTAGGTGCGTTGGAGTGATTAGGCGGGGCAATCGGCGGCAGCCGAGCGGGAGCACCGTCGGGGAACAGATTGGTCTTGGAGCCCATGGTGTTCCGGCTTGGAGGTGCAATCGGACCGGGTCCAGGCTTGTTCGAGACCCGAGGGGGTGATGTGCCTAGGTCCGGGTTGAAGGTGCCGTTTCCTAGAGTACGGTTATTGGTAGGAGGACCCCAGACGTTCTTGGTTGAGGTCTGCGAGCCCCAAGTAGCTGTGTATCGCCCTTGTTGCTTAGCGCTGCTAGACCAAAGGGGCTGTTGGGTATTGCTTCCGTGAGGTTGACGGTTTTCGAGGGGCTCAGAATCCGGCAGAATTTGTGGAGGGACTCCGTTCGGTTGCTGTTCAACTTTTTCGGGGTGAGTGGTAGTGGGTGTCTTGACCTCGGCCTGCTCGGTGGCCTTTTGTTCGTCAGTTGTGCCTGTCTGGGGTGCACCTTCCGTTGTAGAAGCGGGATGCTCCTTCGCTGCAGCCTTCTTGGCACTGTTAGATTCTGGGGCAGGGCCCAGCGCCTGCAACTTGAGCCGGATACGCTCCTCGCGAGCTGCCTTCTCGCGCTCTTCTTCTTCCATGCGCCGTTTCCTGGCAGCCTCGACCTTCTCACGCATCAACCTCTTCTGAAGCTCAATTTCTTGGTCCGTGACCAAAGGTACTTGTTCCTGAACAGGCGGCGGACCAACTGGGGGCACCCCAACCATATCGGGAGCGTGATGATGCGGCACCGGTGCTGCGTGACCCACGGCTGGAGAAACCCGCGGTGGCCAACCCTGGTTGTGCGGGTGAGGATGATGGGGACCGTGCTGTAAGCCAGAAGGCGAGAAATTCCTCGGTGACCCAGGGCCATCACTACCGGCTGTCATCGATTCACGTCTAGCATTGAGAATCTCAGGGGGATGCAATGGCTGCTCGAAGCCCTTGGCACGATTCAAGAAGCCGCTGCTAACACCACTAACATTGGACGAGGCGCGCCTACGGCCGTATGGCACATGTTGGTCGCTAGTCCTATGTGTTTGGAATGCGGCAGAAGGTTCGGCCGGGCCGTGGTGATCGTTGTGGGCAGGGCGTTGCAAGACAGAAGGCTGTCTGCCGTACTGCGGCTCTGGGCGCATCGATCCGCGGCGCTCCTGAACAGGCTCGTAGCGTCCAGAATGTGAATTATATAGTTCTCTGTTGCCACCACCACCAGGCCCGTCTCTCCATGGTCCTCTGCTGAAATCATCCGCGGCAATTTCCTTCGGTCCCGCAGGAGGAAAGCCGGCATATTGAGTCGGCCCATCTCTCGGGGGATATCTCGGTGCATGGTGACTCGGAGGCGGCGGTTCAACGACCATAGGAGACACTTTTTCGACCTTTGGTATCGGTGCCCAGGGTGACTTGACAGGCGCCGGCGGGGGAGGAGGTTTTGCTACGAGGGTGGGCTTCTCGGCGGCACCCTTGAGAACAAGACCCTTTCCAGACCCCAGAACTCCAGGCTTAATGACAGACGCGTGGCCTGGGGCAGGTGATTTCGGTTTTTCTGCAGCCACAGTTTCCTTGACGACTTCGACAGGTTTTGGAACGGGTTCCGGTTCGGGCGCTGGCACGGGGGGTGCCGGGGGATGCTCTTCGGTATGTGGGATAGCAATCTTAGTGCCATCCTTCCATGTGATGGTCTCCGGCGCCCAATCTTCGTCGTCATCGTCAATGTCGGCCCAATTCGCCTGACCTTTGGTATCTTCGGGTTGGAGACGGGTCGCCATGTGAATTCCGTATTTCTTTAGTTCCTCGTCGGTATACTTTTTCGGCTCGGGAGGTGGGACAGCTGCCTGCTTGTTAGCTATCCACAAGTCCGTATCGTCTGGCATGGAGATATGCTCACGTCTATTCTTATTCCACACGGCATTTGGATCTGGCGCACTACCCGTTTTGCCATTAGCGCCGATGGCAGATTTGACAGCCCCGCTTCCCGTCTTTGCGATGAGCCTGGGCCGAGGTGTCAGACTTCCATGGGTAGAGCTGAGAGTCGTTGTCGCCGCGGGCTTCTCAGCGACCTTGGCAGGGGCGGCCGGTGTAGTGGCCTTTGTAGTGAGAAATTTTTGGTTGACATTGATGGCCTTGAAGGCAATGGGCTTCTTGACAGTCGAAGAAGAACTGCGGGGCTTGTCGTCCTTGCTTTTCGCGGCTTCATTGTCTGATCCTCCGCTAACACTGACTTCGGCTGAGGTTACCACTTCATTCGCGATGTCGGATATGTGCTTGTTCTCAATCTCTTCCGTAGCAGGGGTGGCACTTTCGCCTTGTACTTGCGACTGGTCGAGTGGAGCATTCTGCGCGTCCGGGGCATCGATCTTGATAGTCTGACGAGAGGGTGAGCGGGTCAGTGAACAGCAATGCTGGGAGAGCAGTGGGCTACTCACAGGCTCGGCCTCGGAAGTTACGTGTGTTGCATCATCAGATCGGTCCTTTGCTACCTCAGCAGCCATCATACGCTGTGAGATTTCGGGTATTGGTCGGTACGACGAGGGGGTACTGTGATCGCAAGGGCTCGCGTAATGCGCCGGGGTATCTCGAGACTAAAGAAAGACGTGTGGTTTCGTTTGTCGTGGGGTAAGTCGATGGTAGACTGTTTGGGTGAAGATTCCGTCAGTATTGCTGCTGAATATGTGCTGGATATTGCAGTGAGACAAAAGAGCGCGCGCCGAATATGCGATGCGACTTTTTGCGCAACAAGATGGCTGACCAGACAGAGCTGAGACGAAGGTGAAGGAAGGGTGCGGGGGAGAGGAAGAGCGAGGGAAGAAAGAACAGGCAGGCAAGGTCGAGGTGAAGTGCAAGAAGGGGCCAGTAAACCTGGGAAACTTGATCAGGTAGAAGGTGCGGGTTCAGGTAGATCCCAGGTTGCAGGCGTGGTGTAGGAGGCAGGTACGTACCCCTCCCTGATGTCGTTTTGGGGACAGAAAGCAGTCGAGGGTTTCTATTACAATGCGATGTTGAGCCTCTGAGGTCGAGTTGTCGTGTCGATGGAGAGGGAAAGGAAAAAGGTAAGGAGAGGGGGGTGAGGAAGGGAAACGACAACGGACGTTGTGGTTGTTGTGAGGGTGAGGTGAGGTGAGGGTCAGGCAGAGTTTCGGTAGGGAAGGAGTGACGGGATGGGGGGGACTTGAAGGTCAGTCGGGTCTCGACATTGTCGTCCTCTTTTTTTGAGCCTGCAGCAGGGGACTCGACCAAACAGCACTGACTGGCTGTTGTCACCTGTTACTGTCAAGATGACTGACTGCCTTCTCTGGTGACTCTATCTGGTCAACAAACAGATAAGACTACTCACCTTGAAAGTACCTAGAATTATTCACAGTCTCTCCGTTTGTATGACTGGGGAGGGGTGACTGCGACTGCGACTGCGACTGCGACTGAGAGAGTGGAAAGTTGAGGTGCCGTCGAAAGGTCACTGCAGAGAGCTGTTGTTCAGGTGCCACCCATGCTTTCAGTTGTTTCCGGCCTAGCCTGCGCAGACCCGGCCGGCCACCCCACCCCAGCGACCCGCGCCAAAGTGAGCTTGGACCTCTTCTCCAGACTGCAGTGCACGGACATCATCAAACGGCAAGGCTACAAGCGAGAACCAGGGGTCCTTCTCACATCAACAACAGCCACACGCCTCGTCGACGTCCATGCGTCATGGAAAGCTCGTGAGCATGACATATCCGTGAGACACAAGTTGCCATTGCCATATCAGTGGCGTTGGACTATTTAACATAGCCCATGGTGATTAATATTCCAGTCATAGATGTTTTGGCAACCCCCTCCTTTTGAGATCAAATTCTGTAGTGCAAGTCGAATAACTGACCGAAACTGACAAGCTCAAGACTCTGTATATCCCCCCGGTTTCTTTCTCTTTCATCTGCATGTATCAGAGCAGGATCCTGGATAGGGTCTTGGCCTGTCTGATTCAAGCCTGCTCCAGCTTCCACGTGGATGATCTCCCGGCTGACTCTCCATACTTCCATCTCCTTATCCTTCACGTTGGTAGCTTCAACCCAAACGGCTGAATGTGGTTCGTTTCATACGAGTCCTCGTTTGGCATCACATCTTCAGACATCCGGTTTGGTGGAGGTGCCTAGGGGAACCACTCCATCTATTGGATAGCACTTATATACACGGCTGATTTCTTTAATTGTTCATCGCCAAGTAGGGAAAAGGGATATCTCATCAACATGTTCCGCCCGCTTAGTGAGCGTGGTTCTTGTGGTGGCCTATTTGTCACACGTTAGCTTCAGTCTCTGACCCCCTTAATCTTTGCCAGCGCAAAGATGCCAGTTATGATAGGAGCACTTACGGAGGTGGAAGTAGTAGTTCTGGGCATAACCGACGATCAGGAGACCGACAATGGCGTGAACGATGGCTGTTTTCCTCCATGTCAGCATTTCCCCTGCTCTGCCATATTCCCCACAGAATTCCCTTCTCGTAGAGTTTCTGCTGGTATCTCGGGTCCAAGGGTGACGTACGCTTAGCGCTAGGGTTCTTGCCAAAGTGCTTGGCCTGGTACTTGCCCCAGAAGCCGGAAGCCTTGATCTCGGGAGCGGGACCGCGGGGAAGCTTCTCGTAGAAGGAGACGACGCGCTTCATGGCGACAGCATCGGGGGCACCGCCAATGGCCTGAATTTTGGGTTGTCGAGTTAGCCACTGGACCTCCTGGTTCTGTATCGCCCAATCGCATCATTATGTTCCTTCTGCATTCCCCCTTTCTGCTGGTCCTGCTCCGTTGCTGTTGTTTTTCGTCATGGCCCTGCTGGATTCCTCCATTTCGTAGTTCTCCGTATCACCCGGGTCGAAGTTTTGCTGTGCCCGCATCGTTGTCGCCTTCTCCCATCGTGCAGCATCCATTGCCATATGTCCCAATCTTCCTTGCTCTTTCTTCCAACCCATCACCCCTCGCAGGAGTTGTCGCAGTTCGCAGCCCAATCCATCTCGTCTATCGCATCATGTCTCGTCGGAATCGCAGCTGCATCAAAATCGAACGTACCTTGGGAGAGGCGACCTAGCACACAACTGCTGTCAGCAACCAACGTCACCACTTTTCACACAGCTCCGGAACAACAAAACTCACCTTGGGGGGGATAAGTGTAGAGAGCGCACGGCGGGTGACGAAGCTCATTTTGGCGGTCGGTGGTGGTTCAGCACTTGCACAGGTGTTGTTCCGGGTTGGCGATGTTGTCACGGATTTGAGCTGTTAAAACGCAAGGACCTTCTTTTGGCGAACTTGAACCGGGCTGCCGTCTCTGCGCGGCGGAGGGGGAGCACGGGCCACTCACTCATTCCTCTCTGTCTGCAGTGGCAGCTGCTGCTGCTGTCGGCAAGAAAGGTTCTTGCGCGGTTGTTTCCGGGTGGCCAATTGGAGGGGAGATGGTGGGGGTTGGGCTTGGCATTGACGGCTTCGACTTGGAGAGCCTCAGCACAGCGTCAACGACAGCAACAGCAGCGGAAGCCAAGGTGGTCAGTGCTTCTCCCCGACTTGCTTGACTGAAGACTGGCTGGGATATCGTCAGTTCGTCACAATCAATTGCGGCTCCTCTTTTCGCGGCGGGAATTGGACGACAAGCTCCCCGAATCCACCGTGTACTCCTCTCCGACTCCATCGATACGGTCGACGGTATAACTGATAAACCCACGATATCGAAACCGAACTCATTCCCACCATGTCTGCACTACGAATTACCACCGCCTCGGCAGCGCGCATGTTGCGCACGAATGCGATCCCCAGAGCGTCTGTCATCGGCCCGGGTGCTCAGTTTCGAGCAGTCAGCAGCGGCACCCCCAACGACTCCGTCCAGTCTGCGGAATCCGCCCGCGTGCCCGAGAAGCTCGCAAAGGAGGACTCGCCCATGAACACGCCCAAGCGGAACTCGCCCGATTACGATGTTCCCATTGATATAGCCACTTCGTATGCGCCCCCGCCGGTGTTATAAACCATTATGAATCAACTACATCTACACACTTCAATAAACAAGATACGAAACCGATACGGTCATCATGTAACGTCCAGTATGGGTTCAGAGAGCTGCACTGTTCTGACGATTTGCTTCTTCAAATGCAGCACCTGGACCCCAGTCCCCAAGCACATCCAAAATGGTTCCGAGGAAGGCATCCTCCCGGCCGCCGTCGTCTCTGGCGCCCCCATGGAACTCCAGGCCCGCACCGTCCGGTTAGCCTCCCTCCCCCCTCCTATATCCCCTCCCCCATCCCTCACTAACACCCCGAGCAGCATCTTCCTCCCCTCCAAACCCGCCACCCAATCCTCCAACAGCCGCGTCCTCTGGCGCATGGACTGGGACGTTCTCGAAAAGGGCCACCGCTGGGAGAACCAGCTGATGGGCTGGCAATCGTCGGGCGACTATATGCAGGGCACGCACCTGACGTTCCGGACCAAGGAGGAAGCCATTCATTTCGCGGAGAAGCAAGGGTACGAGTATTTCGTGCAGGAGCCGAACCAGCGCCACTTTACGCCCAAGGCGTACGCGAACAACTTTTTGTATAGCCCCGGCAAGTTGAAGATTGTTAGGACTAAGTAAGGGGTTGGTCTGACGAAAGGGGGAAGGGGGGAGAGATGGGCATGGCATGGCACGGCATGGCACGGCATGGCTACAAGGAGCTGGCAGACAGTTTACTTTGGCCCGGTGCTGGTGCTGGTGCTGGTGCTCTGCGGAAGGGGACGAGGGGATGCGGGAAAAGAGGGATCACTGGACCTCTGAAGGTGGTGGAAATTTGCTACAGGTACCAACAAGAAAGAGGGAAGAACGGAAAACCTCTAAGGCTCTCACTGAGACGGACAAGTAACAGGTAACAGACAGATACTGTTCGTTCTGTAAATATGGGAGACACGGAACCATAGAATGAACCTAGAGCATTCGTTTTGCACACAATACATACCTTCGCACCTCTGTTGTGCTTTCTGTGTCTTGCTGTCTCAAGTGTCATGTTAACGTGTTGCTGTCCCATAACTCTGGTGATGTCCGTCGTGTTCGTTACAGCACACGAATAGAGATTCTCTACACCCAGATCCACGACCATACACAAGTCGAGCACTTCCCGTCTTTAGAACCTCACCCTTCCCCCGTATTGTCCAACACTTTGATTACCTTAAGTCTCGGGCTGCAAGACGTTGCTGATCTCTTCTGGATATCCGTGTTTTCTTGGTGATCCTGTTCCGCTCCATACTAGCTGCCCTTTGGCCAACTTGTTGCTCTAGCTCCAACCCATCTTCTGGACCTACTCGGTCCCTGGACATTTCTGTTTTACGATATGTTTCTCCTATGATCTTCATGAATCCTCGTCCCAACGCAATCACAACACCAGAATAAGAACGAATGTTGACCGTCAAAACATGATTGTATTTGTGTCAATAGAGCACAAAGTGCTGTAAACCCCTCTTCGGATAATAATAGCGCGAGGAACCAACCGCTGGCAATACTTTATGCCCCAATAGAAACCCAAGGCGTCATGTTCTACCGCCTGTCCCAACGCCTGCAACATGCTTCAAATCGTTGAACCTCCAATCATAATGATAAACGCCACCACTCCGGTATAAAAATAAAACAATAAAAAAAAAGAAGAAAAAAGGCAACCCCATCATTGCCAGCTACTGCTCTCCGTAACGCTCAGCCCGAGAAAGCCTCTGACGCAGGTTCCTAACTCGTAACCATGGGTTCATGCCCATTATCGTCTCCATTGTTGAGACCCAGTTCGATACGGTCAGGCAGGTTTCGCTTCTTAGACCGGCAAGATGCCTCAGCCCAGGCACGCATGCGAACAAGTTGACGGATGGCAGCTTCACGCCGCTCCGTGTGTCGTTGCAGGACTACCTCGTTCACTTGAGCTGCCGTGTTACGGCGCAGGTCAGAGTGGAGGAGCGCGGCCAGGTCGGGCTGGAGCTTGTCAGGCGGGAAGATGAGCAAGGCCATCGTCTTCTCGAGCTCCTTCAGGAACTGCTCGTTAGAGGCAGCGCGAGGAGCGAGCTTCTCCTGGGCAAAGTTGATTGCTGCTGTGGGATCATATCCTTTGGCGTTGCGGATGAGCTCAATAAGCTGCAACCGAAGCAGGGAGAAGTGCAGGTGAGGGTCACTGTCCAGGATCTGAGCAACTTTGTTAGTCAAGGTCCGTCGCAAAATTTGGAGGCATGACAGCAAAGTTGATGTTGGTTGAGAAATCATAAAGAAGTGGTTGGTTCTCATCAAAGAGCCCGAAGGCTAGCCCAAAGGTCAACCCGAAGGCCAACCCAAAGGTTTACCCGAAGGCTTATGCGTGGTGCATGATTGAAACTCGTGTTCTAATCATCTCAAGGGAGGAGTGGGTGTAGAGAGTAGAGGGGTGAACCTACACCAGGATCGAGTTCATTCAGGTCAGAGATGGCCTTCTGAATGTTTCCAACATGGATGGCGTGCTGGATCTCCTGACGAGCATTGATGGTAGGGTCTTCCTGCTTGGGCTTCAAGTTTGCCTCTTTCTGGAACTTCTCGGCGGCCTTGGGATATCCCTCCATCATCAGGTAGTCGAGGATCAGAGCATTGATGTCACTGTGATGCTGTTAGCCACTGTCCAATACCAAACAACGTGTAATGGTGGTTTCGATGACAAGTCAAAGGGTACAGCAAAGTTCAGGGTTTTTCGAGATTAGATGCAGAGTTTCTCCTCATGGATATCAGAGAGATTCCCATTAAATGCGATCATCATATTGCTGGGTGCAGTGTTGGGGAGGCAAGAGAAGGATGAAGCTTACCTCTTTGGCGACTTGACGTCGGCCACCCTCGTTTCAAAAGCATGTTTGGAGGGAGTTGCAGTCGAAGTTGAGGAAGTCTGTGATTGTATGCGGCGGTGAATGTCCATGATTGGTGATTGCCGATGGCGTTGGCTGTTGGTGATGGTGGTGCGAGATATCAAAAGAGGCTCAAACCAGCCGGCCCGTGGGAGCAGTGAAGCAGACGGGTATCGACGACCGGAAGTGGTAGAAGTACGAAGAGCGATGTGGATTGGGGATAAGTGAGCCGAACGCCTCCTGGTGGATGATGAGCCAGAACGCTTCAGTTGCTACTGAAACTGCCGCATCGGTTTTCTTTCACGTGTGCCAGCACACTGATGAAGTCACCGAATGCCGCACGCGCGAGCGGTGGAGGGGGGTGGACCGAAACCGGAAGCCCGGTTGTGGTTGGAAGAGATAGAAATAGAAGAGAAGAAAATTGGGATGACGCAGACTTTCGGCGTAGAAATAGTTTTTTTGCAGATGGAGGGGGACGAGAAGAGATTGCGGATATTGACGTGGAGTGAGTGGGAGCCGGCAGACGGCAGAATTGAACCAACGGAAGAGGATCAAGATTTGTGTCCGAGCTTCCTTCCACTTTGGCGGGGCAGCACGCAGCGCTCTTGTACCCTGGAGCTTCAACTCGTCACTGCCATTGGTCACTTGCTTTGTGGCGCGCATGGACGAATCAACCGCGGGCGCCTTCTCCAAATCTCAGCCACAGCAAGGCGGGTTGCATGCTGCACGAGAATGATTGGCTCGATAAGCAAGAGCTGGACAAGAGGGGACAGCCTTGTCTTGTGCCAGCGGTACGTACCAACGGTACGAGAGCCTCTTCTAGGTAAGTAGCCTTCACTGCCAGACATGACGGGACCAAGATCCTCGGGCATAGTTCAGCTCTGCGAACCATGCAGCCGAATTGACTTTAAATCCATCTTCACGAGTCACCGCCGTCCCGTTGACGAAGCCCAAGATCCAACATGCAACTGCTTTGACGCACTCAATGCCCGGGCGAGGCATGGCTGGCCAACCCCCGGCGACCCGACAGCGACGACGTGTGCCTTTTGCGCTTTCTATCAAGAGTGTCAGATCCGCTCCAAGGACATTGCGTATATGAAAGGCCAGGATCGAATGGGCGTCTCCCTGAAGAGTTTCCACTCCTTGAAGGGCTTTCGACTGCGACATGTCGATGAAAAGGAGAAAGACTCTACTTCGTCTTCAAGAGATAATGTGCAGGATGTTTTGGCACTGCAAATCGTTGGTGTCCGAATGCCTGCACGGTTGGATACCCAGAGTGTTGGACATGCTATTTTGCGTCTTGTCGACGACCATGACCATGACCACTCGTCTTCTTCGCTGACGACAATGTTGACAAGAGCTAGAGAGACGGGTGGCGGGATACTGGCTAGAAAGCTCTTTCCCGACAAGGTTAACTACCGCCTCATTGGGGAGTGGCTGCAACTTTGCCGGTCCGGACATGTACGGTGCGACTCTCGCGAGGCCGACGAGGGTGATGGTGGTGTAGGAACCGGCCAGATCCCCGGGTTCCAAGTCATCGACTGCACCACGGGAAACATTGTGTCTTTTGCCTCCCTTTCCGGCGGTACCTCCTGTGGAGAGCAGTCACAGACACCAGAATACGTCACCCTCAGCTATGTTTGGGGCCAAGGTCCCTTTGAAGGACCAGTCAAAATCAAGCCCCCTCCCGGCTCTGGCATCAGGCAACAACAACGGCTATCCCTCCCAGACTCCCTACCCCTAACCATCAGCGACACGATCCAAGTCGTCCAGCGCCTCGGGTACAGATACCTCTGGATCGACCGGTACTGCATCCCGCAGGACGACCTGCCAGCCAAGCAGATCCAGATCGAGAACATGGGCCGGATCTACTCCCGCTCCGTGTTAACCATCATTGCCGCCGCTGGCGAGGGACCCGAGTATGGGCTGCCGGGGGTGAGCGAGCGTCGGAGGGCTGAACAGCTTACTGTTCAAGTTGATGCTGCCCAACATGAAGGGAAAGGGATCTCCCTGGTGTTATACGAAAGGCCGAGAGCCGCCATCACGAACTCAAAGTGGCATACCCGCGGCTGGACGTACCAGGAGGGACTCCTGTCTAGGCGGAGGCTGGTGTTTACGGACCAGATGGTGTATTTTCAGTGTTATGAGATGCATGGGGACGAGGTTTTGTCGTTGCCGATTCCTGATGGACCTAGCGGTGGGCATGTCTCTGATGATGTCAAGGACAAGGACAAGTTTGACGAGATCCGCTGCCTCTCCCTTGACGACCAAGAGTCCAACTTTGGCTTCATCTTCCCCCGTCGAATGACGGATTGGTCCAACCCCGACACCGTCTGGGATCGGATCAAGGAATTTTGCCAGAGAGAGCTTTCGTTTGATGCCGACACTCTCGATGCTGTTGCTGGTATCTTTGGCATGTACACAGCGGAGAACCCAAGCAAACACCAAGGGGACGGGACCTCCTTCTTTTACGGCATGCCCATTGCTCCTTTCCAGCCGGAGCGGAATGAATCAAACCAACAAAGGTTGTGGACTTGTGAGTTGCGGACTTTTTGGGAAACATATGAGAACAACGTGCCCGGGAACAACACAGATCCGATCCCAAAACTGGAAGTGGAGGAGGTGGATGTAAAGACTAGTCTCACCTACAAACTAGTCGAAAGCCTCCTCTGGACCGATTCCTGGTACCACGTACTCAAGCCCGACAAAATACAACAGCTGTCACAGCAGTTCCGGAGACCGGTATTCCCCAGCTGGACGTGGGCGGGTTGGAAGACGTGTATAGTCGAGCGCGACAGATTGTTTTCCAAAATGTTCGATAGCCGCACCAAGATTCATGTAGAGTACGAGCTTGAAGCTGCCTCCCCAGCCTCTTCGAGCCCAGGCCTCACACACGCACACGCACAAAAGGCAACAAAATGGAGGCGACTAGACTGGGAGCGAGAGAACGAAGAGATCCTGGAGCTGGCACGAAATGGGGCTTACAAGATCCCGGCACGTCTGGTTATCAGGGGAACCGTGCTGGATATGAGGCTCAAGTGGCGCGGTGGCGAGGAGAACAACGAGGAGTTGTGGTGGAGGAAGGTTGGGAAGTGGACGGTTACGTGGCCGGAGTTTATGGAAGGGAAGGAGATTGATGTTCCGAGGGGATTGTTGGATGATACCTCGGAACCTGGAGGCCGTATTAGCAAGGGAGAAGAGGAGGTACAGGCTCTCGCCCTGATACTAGCAGGACGGGCCTATTCGGGCGAGGCGAACGGGTCTCTATTGGCGTTGATGTTGAGGCCCGTGACGAGGATGTTGAATGGACGATCGGAAACGATGTATGAACGTGTACACAAGATGGATTTGTATGTGAGGAAGGAGGAGTACAAAGCTGAGTGGACACCGCTGGCTGGGTTGTTCAGGGAGATGGAGGTGAGATTGTGTTGAGTTGTGTTGCGAAAGGAACTGAAAGTGTCCCATCTCGGAGTCTTTTTGCCTTTGCGCTTGTTCTTTCCGACTGACTACCCACGGATTTGGGGTCCTGGCGGTGCGGCCGCTTGACACAGGTTCGGATACGCGAACGTACCTAAGGCGCCGCACACACCCTTCAGTCCACCGGCTGCTCGGCCTTGTTTGCTGATGTTGAGGATTGGTGAATAGGTAGGCAAGTAAGCTCGGAGTGTTTCCACATCTGCTAATGTTGGGATTACAAGGTATTATGCTGACCGGAGTGTAGGTTCCTTCAATGCCAACGTTGACACTCTTGCACATCCTTCCCAGTGTCTGAAGTTCAGCGAAAACAACATGAGATACTGTGTGTGATGCGGGCTCCTCACACGGGATTGTGTAAGGTAGGTACGTATGGTTCGGATTTTGCAACCTTATCTCCGGTAGCAAGCCTGTGATGTCTTCTTTCTTTGCAGTTATACCTCACTGAGCCCTCTTCCCCGCCCTTTGTTTGGGCTTCCGTACCCTAAGAATCAATATTGCCTATAACAAGGTATCTCCCTCCGTTTGAAGACGTACCGCCCTTTTCATTGCATCTGGTTCACCTTATCTCAAACTTGAACCTCTCAAGCATCTCTACAAAAGTTTCCTACCTAGCTAGGTACCGTTCAACCATGTCTCATTCCGGAAAGATAGTTGTCTTGATCACCGGTAAGAGAGACCATTTGGCTACCTCGATTGAGCACCCCAAGTGAGAACAACGAGACTAAAACCCCCAGGCAGGCGCAAACCAGGGCATCGGCTATGAGACGGCCAAGAATCTGGTCCAATCCTCAGCCGATTACCATGTCATTCTCGGCAGCCGCGACAGCAGCAAGGGTGAGGCAGCGGCTCAGGCGCTGCAACAAGCCGACGGCGTAAAGGCAAAGGGCACCGCCTCCTCGGTATCTCTAGACGTGACGGACGAGGCGTCCATCGCAGCCGCAGCCGAGCGTGTCGCAGCCGATTTCGGCAGACTCGACGTGCTGGTGAACAACGCAGGCATCATCTCGACGGCCAGCCCGCCCACGGCCCAGGCGCTCCGGCGCGTCCTCGAGACCAACGTGGTCGGCGCTCTGGCCGTGACCGAGGCGTTTCTCGACCTGCTGCGCAAGGCGGAGCACAAGCCGCCGCGCTTGGTCTTTGTCAGTTCAAGCATGGGATCCATCACTCACGCGGCGGACCCGGCCTCTCCGTACTACAACCCGCACGGTACCGAGTATCGTACTAGCAAGGCGGCGTTGAATATGCTCATGACTATGGTCAGTTTTCTTTCCTGCTCAGAGTCCCAGTGACGGGCGATTAACCTTTCCTCTCGCGTAGTACTCTGCCAGACTCAAGCCGGAAGGGTTTCTCGTCATTGGTGCGGATCCCGGACTCTGCGCCACCAACTTCACGGGTGATGCTGCGTCGCTGAGGAACAGAGGGGCGGTAGAACCGGCTGACGGAGGGGACCGAGTGGCTGCAGTCATAAAGGGTGAGAAGGATGCCGATGCTGGAAGGGTCATTGGTGTGTACGGGGTTAGTCCATGGTAGAATCGGTCCATGTTCCCCCCTCCCGTGCAACTCATCTTTCCCCTTTTCGGCGGGTAATGCCTACATCGATTGCTGCAAATAACACGTATTGTGTCACCCACCTATTCGAGCCATCTTCGGTAACTCATTATGATACTCGTTTCGATTCGACCACCTACCATCCCACCCCTTGCCACGCGACTGCGATCGAAACTCCCTTGAATATCGGGCAGTTGGAACCTGGGCAGTCTGTTCTCATCCACTCGGCAGCTGGTGGTGTCGGCCACGCAGCTATTCAGCTTTGCCAAAGCATTGGAGCCAAGGTTTGTGATGACATCTTTTCCACTGTTGTTTTCCATATTGCCGGCCAGGTGGTGTAAAAAATAGCCCGGACACGCTTACAACAAACCACACCCAGAAAGTGTTCGGACTATTTTCACACCACCTGACGGCTGAAGGGCGGATCGGTGCTAATCAAAGATGTGCAGATTTTTGCCACGGTGGGTAATCAGGCCAAGGTCGATTATCTAGTGCAGACCTTTGGCATTCCGAGGAACCACATATTCCACTCTCGGGACGAGTCCTTTGCGGTCGGCCTCCTGCGCGAGACAGGCGGCCACGGCGTCGACATGGTCCTGAACTCGGTGGCGGGCGAGCTCTTGCACGCTTCTTGGGACTGTGTTGCCGAGTTTGGCAAGATGATTGAGCTTGGAAAGAGAGACATTGGTGAAAATGGCAAGCTCGGGATACGGAACTTCTTGGAGAGTAGGTCGTATAGCGCTGTGGATCTGACACACCTCGCTCAAAAACGGCCACGACGTGCACAAGCGTAAGTGCCCTTGCCGACCAGAAGGCTAATTCATACCTTGGGGTGTACAGAGGCTAACTCGCAACATCTGACAGACTCCTTAAGCAGTGTGTGGACTTGTACGAAGCCAACATGATTGGGCCCATACACCCCATCCAAGCATTTGAGGCAGGGGCTGTCCAAGATGCCTTTGGGATGGTGCAGGACAGCAGCCATATCGGCAAGGTGGTTGTGCGCATGCCAACGGATAGCTCTGAACTCGTCAGCTCTGCCCGAGCCACAGAGGTCCGTCTCAAGAGCGACGCGTCGTACCTGCTGACTGGTGGCCTCGGCGGGCTGGGCAAAGCGATCTCGACATGGCTCGTGGAGCGGGGAGCAAGGTCCTTGGTGTTCCTGTCCCGTAGCGCAGGCCAGAAAGCGGAGGATGCGGCCTTTATTCGGGAGCTGGAGGCATGTGGTTGCTCTGTGGTCACGGTGGCCGGCCATGTCGAGAGTATGTTGCATGTTAGGCGAGCAGTCGCGCAGGCGCCGCACGCCGTCAAGGGATCATCCACCTGGCCATGGTTCTCCGTGACTCGGCCATGGCGACCATGGGGCATGGCGACTGGGTGGTAGCGAACAGCCCCAAGGTAACGGGTGCGTGGAACTTGCACGAGGCGCTTCAAGAGGAAGACGCCGACTTTTTTGCTATGGCTTCATCGCTGGTGACGGTGGTGGAGCAGCCCGGGCAGGGAAACTACAGCGCGGCCAACACCTTTCTCGAGGCCTTTGCCCAGTACCGGCGCATGCTGTCGCTGCCGGCTTCGGTGCTCAACATCTGCCCCATTAACGGCATCGGGTTTGTGGCCGAGAATGCGTTCGCGCGCAAGAACATGAAGGCACAGGGGCTCTGGTTCGTGGGCGAGGCGGAGCTGCTTGACTTTTTGGAGCTAGCCATCAGGCTGTCCCCGTCAACCTCTGGCTGTTCGGCCTGTGGCTGGACAAGCACCGGTCAGCTCGTCATGGGACTGCGCGGGGAGGGCAATCTGAACTCGACCGACTCGAGGACCAACTGGCGACGCGACCGACGCATGGGCTTCTACCACAACGTGCGAGAGGAGAGTACCACCAAATCATCTTCTTCGTCATCGGCCGAGCTGGTCGCCTTCCTCAAGGCGGCGGCTGACAATGTCGACGTGCTGGACGAACCCGGCAGCTCGGCGTACCTGGCGCGCGAGGTTGGGCGCAAGACGTTCAGCCTGATGCTCAAGACGGAGGAGGACCTGGACCTGACCCTCACGCTGCATCAGATTGGGTTGGATTTGCTGATGGCCATCGAGTTGCGTCGCTGGTTGAAGCAAGCATTTGGCTTGGACATGAGTGTGCTGGAGATTATGGCCCAGGGCACGCTCGAGGCTTTTGGATCCGTCATTGCAAAGGCGCTGAAGGAGAGGTTTAGAGGTGCCTAAAACATGTAGACGGTCCGAGTATGAGTGTACTTGTAGATAGCGTCATCGCCCCGCGGAGAGGTGCCAAGGTACCGCTTTTACCCAGTCGTAAGAGATTTACTCCCCAGACTACCACCAGAACCTAACCTTCTTATAGTATGGTTAGCTCCCTTCTGTAAGCCTCCTGCAAGCCAAAGTAGGCACGTTAACGTAGCTATACAAGGGGTGCACAGGGGTACCTAGTTCCTTGGCAAAAGAGGGGGTTCTGGAGACCGCCAACCTTCTAATTTCTATTGATTTCATCGTTTTATCCTTTTTACACATTAACTAATAATACTAGCCATAAAAACAACGATATTTTCAATTCTTCCCTATAAAACTATACCTCGTATTAACCTTAGGACTATCGATATTGTTTATACGTAAATGGCTATACAATCTACATTACTAACTAAATTTAATTTCGTTTTATAAACGTAACAAAAGACTTTGAAAATACTAGAATTTTTACTGTTAATAACAAATATAATATTATTTACCAGCAACCTTCCTCCCCTAGGTTTATATACGTTACTAATTTATTCCTTAAAAATGATAACTATCATTTTAGCTAGATCCGAGAGCAGTAGAAGGATATTATTAAAGAGTAAATTTTGAATGAGAATTATTTAGTTAAATGCTTTATAAAATCGAGAGGGAGGCGATAGCGAAATTACAATATACAGGGTATTGAGAGAAAGTAGTAAGAAGGCAAAGTATTTATATAGGTAGAAGAGTTTATCGTTATTAAAAATAAAAACGAAGATTAAAAATAAAGACGAGGATTAATACTGGTAATAATATTAATCGATTAGAATTGGCGCTATTAAACTTCCCTCTTTATTTTTAATCATTAATTCTATATTATTTACCCCCGATTTAGCTATAATAAGAGCCTCTTCGTTAACCGCAATAAATTTAGCGATAAATTCGAACTTTTTAAGCTTATTAAAACTAAAGATCCATCGTTATTTATAGAAGGCCTTTAATTAAATTATATTAAAATCGGTGTAATTTATACCTAGTTCGTTAAGGGTAATTTCCGTATTTAGTTCGATATAATTATTAATAATTTCGGCGTTAATAGTTTGCTAAAAGTCTAAAACGTTAATATCCCGTTAATTAATCCCTTTAATTTTTATTTTCTAATTTTCTAAACCGTCGGGGTATATAGAAATACTATAATCGACAAAGGACTTAACTACTAAGTTTGAATTTTCTAATTTAAAATAATTAATTACCTATATAATAATATATATAAATATAATCCTCTTCCTGCCAGGAGTCTATTTTTCGACGTATTATTCGTATTTATCAAAGAGGTATATTTTAATAAATTTATTAATGTAGGTATCGAAGGGTTATAGTAGGGGTATAAAACTGCTAAGGATTAGCGTTCAATTAATACTATATTTATCAAGGGTATCGAAGACCTCCTTTATTTTATAAAAGCCGGCTATATTTAAAGCTAATAATACTTTATTATTATTATTACCTACCTCTTTATATAATTTCTTATTAATCTATTTAACTATTAATTTTTTATTATTATAAACCGTTTTATTAAATCCGGCCGTTACGCCTTTATTATATCAATCAGTTTTATTTAAATAAATAAAGGAAGTTAATAATAAAATAGAAAGGATAAGTTAAATAAAAGAAAGTAAAACTTCCGCTTTATTCCTTTTATCTTTCCTTTTTTTCTATAATTAAGTAGGGAATATACTATCTACCCGCCTCTACTTATATTATAACCTATTTGCCCGCAGGTAGTAAGTAGAAGATACGGTACTAATTTATCCTTCTATCGGGTTAAAGATTTATTCTAAATTAATAATTATATTAATTATAGGGAAAAAGAAAAAAAAAAGGAAAAAAAAATGGAAGGGGAATCCTTAAGTTTATAATATATAATATTACGTTTATTTACCCGCCTTAACTCAGATTATTACTTATTTACCCGTAAGCAATAGGATTAATACAGTATTAATACCTTCTATCGGTTTTAATTTTATACGTAACTTATAGTTTAGAGGTATAATCTAAAGGGTAGAGGAAGGAGATAAATATAAATAAAAGGGTATAAAAAGAAAGGATTAAAATATTATAAGATATTCCAGGCAGGTGCCTGAATGCCCTACTCTGTCTTAGCACATACTCTATTGAGCGTAGAACTACTCTATCGAACAGGATATATTATATAAGAATACTCTTCCTATCAACCTCCGTTAAAATTAATTATATTATTAATTTATATTATATTAACCTAATGTCTACTTTACTTATACTCTATAAAATCGTATGCGAAGTCCTAGGTTAAGGCTCTCAATAATGCTTATCTTTAGCTTCTTTTAATAAGATTGTCGTTAACCGTTATGTATTATTACTCTGTTTAGTAACTAGTTATTTACTCTATTATTTTGTATTAGTATTATTTGTAAAGTATCGCTTCGTATAATAAGTAGTACCTATAACTTAGTTTTAAACTAATTTTATTATTTTTTCTATCTTTTTTCGTTTCTTCCTTTCGTAAAGAAGGAGGTTCTATCTTCTTTTCGTTAGTTTTAATAATAATTTATTAGATTTATTGCCATTTATTAAATTTACTCTCTTAAATTAAGTATTTGCCTATCCTGCTCAATTTTGAACACCCTTTCTTTATAACTCTTTTATTATCTTTTCAAATTTTAAAACTAACCTTTACGATATTAAATAGTAACGTTATTCCTTAAATAGTTTTTAACCTCTAGGATAATAATTTAATACGTAAAGTATAGTACATTTTTAAATTTATAATAATCTAATCCTAATTTTATTACGAGGAATATTTTACCCCTCCGGCCGCCGAGCTTTTTATTAAAGCCGCTAAACTTCGCCTTAGTATAGAAATCGGCTAAATCGAAATTTAAAAAGATTAGGCTAATAAAATAAATAATAATATTTATAATAAAGGTTAGATTATCGATATTAATATAGCTAATAGAGAAATTTGATAAATTTTGCGTAAATATTGTAATTTTATTACTAAATACCCTTTTAAATGATATTATATTTGGCCTTTCTCTAAGGAAAGAGACGGCGTTTTTATTTAATTTAGGAAAAAAAATTAATAATAGTATATAATTAAATTGAAAGTTAATAATCATAAAACCATTTAATATAAAATTAACGATAATATTATTAAAATAGCCGTTAATATATTAATTCCCCTTAAAATTAATGGTTCCGTTACTTCTAATTTTTAATTTTCGCTTAATAATTTTTCTAATATTATCAAATTAGTTAACGCGCTGCCTTTTGTAGATTTTATTTAAATCTTTTTTTTTTTTACCACTAATTCTAATAGAATAATTTTCTTACCCCAATTAATTCTTTCGTCCGCTCTCACCTATTAAATCTATTATTTCCTACGCTAATTTAATCATTAAAGTCGCTATTAATTTTATTTAGTAGTTTATAGCCAATCCTATTATTAAATATTTTATTAATATAGTATAAGCGGAAGCTCTAATCAAATTTATTTAAAAGTAGTAATAAGAGCGAGCTCTTATATATTTAGAACCGACTATAGCTGATAAATTCCCGATTTATTTTATTAATCTAGTCTAAAATACCTTATCCTTTATTTAAAATAATATAAAGCCCGGTTTTGGTTTACCCGCCCTGGCTGCTATTCGGCGTAATCCTATTTAATAGAGCGATAATTTTATTATTAATTGGCCTTAACGTACCGTAAATTATATTAATATTATTAGTAATACTATTATAATTAGCGTTAAAGATCCGTATAATATTATTAACTTTATTAATTATATAAAAAACCTTTGGATTAATTATATTAACCGTTTACCCTTGTTTAATGACGTTTATTAGTAACCTATTTATTTCCTTTATAATATATTAGTTTTATTAACCGGCTATTATATTTTTATTTATATTATAAAGATAATTCCCGAAGAATTTACCGAATGGGAAAGATCCTCCGCTAATAAGAACGAAGTTAAATATTAATTCCATTAAACCGAATAGTGAATTTATTTAATTAAATAAGCTTATTAAATGTATTAAATTTAGGAATAGGGTATACTTGCTTCGGTTTAATTAATTCTTATTTAAACTCCTCCTATTTAAATTCCTCCTATTTAAATTACTTTATTATATTTAGCCTTTTATTAGGGTAATTAATTTATGAATATTTAGTAACCTTTAATACGCTTTATTAATATTTCTTCTAATATTTCTTAATAGTTAGTTAAAACTAATAATAATAGTACTATAATAAATAATATTATTTTTTATAAAATATTTAAAAATTTATATAATCGTTTTAAGGAATTTAACTTTCGTAATCATGTTATTTTTAATAAAAGATTTACTGTACTAATTAATAATTTTAATAATAAATTTATTTAGTAGAAATTCCTTAATATTAGCGTATTTTTCTTTAATATTCTTAACGATAAAAAAAGTAAAAAATCTGTATTAATAGCAAAATTAATATTTATACCGATTGTCACCTATTTACTAATATAATTAATAACGCCTGGCTCGTTCATACTGAATGTTATGAAATTATAATTAATAATTTTCAATAATTATTACGAAGTATTACAATTTTTTAATAGATTAATACCCTATCTTATATTAAATATAATAGTTTTTACAGCAAATCTGGCTATATTACCAACACTTTATATTAGGTTTTCAATATTAAACTGAATAAAGCGTAGAAATAATGTAATATAAATAGGTTTATTATCGAAATATATAAGAAAAGCAATTATACTTTATACAATTTCTTTATAGAATTATTTAAATACATTTATTTATAGGGTAATAATACCGATTTTTAACTTTATACTTATCTTTAGAATAACTTATATTATAAATTAAAGTTTTACCATATTAAACCTAATTTTAATTATTCTATCGGTTAATATATTAATAATATTAAAGAAAATGTTTTATTTATTTATAACAAA